CCTGCCACAACGCCTGGCCATTTTTTGGTTGCAGCCATCATTGTTGTTTGGCAGGCCTGGGCTGGGGATTTGAATCCGCCACCTTAGGTGTATGTGGCTGGCGCCTTAGCCGCTTGAGCCACAGGTGCCAAGCCCTCAAGCTTGCATCTTGCCTCAGCATTTCAAGTAACTGGATCTATAAGAGTGCAGTACTGCCTGTTTTTCTTTTATATTTTGTAGAGACAGGAGCTCACTATGTTGCCCACGATTTTCTCAAACTCTTGGGCTCAAGTGATCCTCCAACCTCATACTGTCATCATGCTTGGATTGCAGGCCTAAGCCACCATGCTGAACCACCCATTTAAAATTGAATCTCTAACTCTTATTAGGGAGTGGAGAAATAAGGGATTGTGATTATAATTTTTTCTGACTTCCAGAATACATCTCTTTTTTATGTGCAGCTCATAAGCTTGTTATTAGCTTAGGGAAATAGAAGAACAGACCCTGATGCATAACCTTTTTTTCAGGTTAAAATCGGCTCGAGACGTCGTTTCTAGGACTGGTCACTCTTTGGCTCTGGGTTGTTTGCATCGTTACGTTGGTGGCATCGGCTCCGGACAGCATCTGAAGACCAGCGTCAGCATTTTATTGGCTCTAGCACAAGATGGAACATCCCCTGAAGTCCAGGTACAATATTATGGATTTTTCATTATGGAAATTTTAAATAGTATTTTGGGAATGACTGTTGTAAGTTGTTAGGAAAAATGTATGAGGGTCTTATTTGAATAGTGTATAACAATATTTTGTTTTTCAACCTAACCTTAAAGTTTATCTTATTCTGAGAATTTCGCTCAGTCATGCACATTCCTTTAGGCATTTTTTATTTATTATTCCTTGTACTTGTCACCTCTTTTTTGTATTTCCTTATATTTGTTAGGTCGACCAAGTTTTTTTTTTTTCAGTAACTATCCTTCTCTCTCTCTTTAAGTGTACTCCTTAAATTTTTTGGTTTTTCTTGTTGCTCCTTGAACATTTTATACATAAATAGATATAACCACAGTGAAGGTCAAGAGTGCATATGAAAATATCCTAAAAATATCAAGACTATATGCATTTAACAATTTAGTATGCTCAATTCAGTATACTTTATTCTTTACAAATAAAATAAAATTTTATTTTGTTCTAGACGTGGTCTCTTCATTCACTGGCTTTGATTGTGGATTCTAGTGGCCCGATGTATCGTGGATATGTAGAACCAACATTATCTCTAGTTCTTACCTTGCTGTTAACAGTTCCACCTTCACATACAGAAGTTCATCAGTGTTTGGGTAGATGCTTAGGTGCCATAATAACTACTGTTGGCCCTGAACTTCAAGGTAAGTCAGTCCATCATAAATTTTAAAAACTAAACAGATAATTATCTATAAATTTTCTGAATGTCACTATTAAATTGCTTAAAGAAATTTTGTAATAATAATAGTTGCTGGTCAGGCGCAGTGGCTCACATCTATAATCCTAGCACTCTGGGAGGCTGAGGCAGGTGGATTGCTTATGCTCACAGGTTTGAGACCAGCCTGAGCAAAAGCAAGACCCCATCTCTACTAAAAATAGAAAAACTGAGGCAAGCGGATTGCTTGAGCCCAAGAATTGGAGGTTGCTGTGAGCTATGACGCCACAGCACTCTACCCAGGGCAACAGCTTGAGACTCCATCTCAAAAAATAATAATTATAATAACTGCCTTGTACTAAATTATTGTGATTCAGCAAAGGCCTGGCACTCAGCTTTTTTTTTTTTTTTT